GGGGGGGGGGCGATTAAGATAGGGAATGCATCGTTTCTTAGTTCCAACGCCCGACAGATAAAGACGTGATACATAACTCTAGAACCCCCGAACATTAATTCGCTTGACACTGACAACGAGTATTCCCAATCCCCAATCCAATCTGAACAGGAAGTGAGGATCACAAAGAACCTGCAAGACATCCCGTCTGGAGGTGTGTCGAAGTAAAAAAACAAAAAAACAAAAAAACCACGGGTAGCAGGCCACGACATTGCCACGTGACAAGATATGTCTACCAGATTAAATATTTCCGGTGTGCTTATCCCTTGGGTATGTTAAGGCTTCGCTCCCATATTAATCTATGAACGGTACTTACAGTTGTCGCAACCCAAATCCCACTTCAACTAGTCTGGTCCACACCCCGTATACCTTCGAGGTGCTAGGTTAAATGTCTTTTTGGCGGCTCCAAAGTCGTATGTCTTATCTATAAAGAAGCAGGGAAGCTTCAAAACGATACTTTACACGGTCTGCCCACACAGTATCTCCAAAACGAGGTGCCACAGATATCAGGGCGTGATTAGCACTGGCTTCTGGCGCGAACATCAGAGATAGTCGAGCCATCATATCCAGAGAAAGCCAAAAGTACACGCACTCAACGCACACCACACTGCCAGCGTGCAATGTCCCTCTGCTGAGCATCCCCAGTCGTTGTCCACAAAGAGCTGCAGAGATCTGGTGCGGGATGGTACAAAAAGTACATGGCGTGGTGCGCACGTGCTCCTCATCCCATCAATATCTTTCAGCTGTGGCGTGCATTTTGGTTTACATGACAAGTCAGTTGGAGTGTCTATCTTGTGCTGATTGATAATATAATAAGGCGCTCATCAAATGTGTGGAGCTACTCGTAATTACCGCGAACATCTGCTGGGTATCAAATGACATGACAGAGAAAAAGGAAGAGGCGAGGTGCAAAGAGTGAGTTTTGTGAACAACAAAAACAAAAACAACAACAAATGCAAAGCCGGACTCCTTGCTTCTACTTTCTGCAAAGATCAGTTAGACAAAAGCATCTAAAAAATTTTTTTAAAAGGCTCAGAAGAA